GAGGAAGCAATAAAGATCCAGCATGCCGCGGATGTGACGTGAGTGCACTACAATATAACTTCACGCCTGCCAACTTTTACTTTCACAAAGGAATTCATGAATTATTTATGAGTACTCCGGAGCGACCAGCGGAAATCAATGACGCAGGCAGTGGTTGGTAGACACGTGCAACTTTTATACCAAATTAGGGCGACGTGTAAACAGCATTGCACTGTTGAAAATAAACTACCTGTAATGCAAGTTGAAGGCTCGTACTTTGGATAAGTCGCCACGCATACATGATATCAAACAAAATGTTTACTTACAAAGCTTCTATACGCTGTTCTACCATACAGCAAGGTATAGATTTCTTGTCGTTAAAACAGTCTAAGTTTAAAACTCCAAACTCTTAATACAGAGTAATGGTGAAGATATGCCGAACAATGGAAACAATAGACACACTACTTTTTTTCTAACCATTTCTGAGTTATAACCACCTTTTTAACCTAAAAACTGCTGTTTTATTTTGGTGCTCCCAGAGGGCCAGCCTAATGCCTTCTTTGTACCAATCTGAGTCACTAACTGACTGCCTATCACTTGGGAGCCGGGCAGTGCCGTTGTATTGGATTACCCCGTAACGAATGGGCGTATGAATGAAGAGACTTCCAGTGAAAAGGAATTCTGAATATAATTCCTTGCGGTCTGGCCATGAAAGTCGAGGCTTAAAACAATTTTCTAATGCTCTGTAAGCGATTCATCTTTGCCAAGAGCTGGAAGCTACGGCTTCCTTCCAGAAAAAAATCATCTTGCAAGACGTGGTATTGGTTTAAGGTTTCCGCTCGATTGTGGCATTTCTATTTTCTGGCCGGATTACCATCCAGATACTGATGTACGTCAGGCGCGTGGCCTGCGCGCTATTGCTCCGCGTCAGTGACAGTTGCATGCGGTAGAAACCGCAGCAAACTTGACGAACGCCTTGACACGCGACCAACCTGCTAATTGCTTAATTCACTAGGAAGGTATTAAGCGCTTAACAAACTCCTCGCCAATTTGTCCGAGACGGAAACCACACTTTGCACCGATAAACCCTTTCTCTATGAATAAACTAAGCACAAACTGTGCATTTTGCAGCGGTGATAAGTTGATAACATAACAATTAACATCGGAAGTGTGTGCTTCAATTTAACCGATTTTTTTTTCAGCAGCGTCTGATGCTTAAGCCTGATGCTTCGTCGTACGTATACAGGAAGATGTGTTCTTTCAGCAAAACGGAAACAATTCTCGTAGAGATAGATGTATGTGAATTATTTTCGTTCTTCTGAAAGAACACTTGCCTTTTTTGTGATCCATGGACAGAACTTTAAAACGGTGTTTGTGTTAAAAATGCCGTAACTTAAAAAACATGAGTGATTTAAATGATTCTTGCACTAAAAGAAAGCTTATTAATTTGGCCTTCATATCCTAGATATTGAAAGGGCTACGGGCAGAACTTCATTTTAAAAAAATGGTCCTGCCATTTGGCTTTCCTTGTTTGACTCACATTGTACATTTACCCATGCAGTTTGTTGTGTGTTCGCATCTCATGATGATTCCGTTACAGTTGGAGGTAATTACCAACCAAAACGAGGAAGAAAAACTTCGAGTTAAAAACAAAAAAACCTGCACATCGATCAGCTTCCTTGACGTCATATTCATACTGAACGTATACTAATGAAAATCTCAACATTTCGCTAGGCCTATACATGTAGACAAAAAAAATATCAGGAATTGTGAGAGTGCTTTCCTTTCAGTTCGAATTTTGACACAAGGAAGAATTCTATTTTTACCAGAACAGGAATCAATGAAAGTTGATAAGGCGACCTTGAGTTCTAAAAAAAAAGGAAATTACTGCTACTTTAACTTGAATTTCCTTGTGGTAGACATGGGGGACGGGAGGAAAGGTCCCACTTTTTGACATACCAATAAGAATCACTCAAAAATAGACAAACATCACTTTCCTATCAAACCCATTACGCAGCGTGACTCCAAACTATAGCGTCACTTTTTTAATCTAGGTATTCAACAACTTACAAAATTGCGTAACACCAGACGCACAATGTAGATATTTTTTTAATGAAATTCCGCTATTGAATGTAAGAAGTGAGAAAATGGAACGCAACCATTACAATGTGTTCTCGTAATGATTCTGTGATTTACATAATCTATGCATTGCCTGTGTACCCGTTTAAAGTTGTCATTTTGAACTCTTAGTTGTTATTTTAGGGTGTTTACTCGGCCCTTATAACATTTCAAGATTTTATCAGTTATGGCCTATCAGTCTGTTGAGAACTGTAGAAAATGTGCACTGGACCAAATTAGTTACTCCTTTTGTATGCAAAAAATGTACTTTGTAACAATCTTAACATCCAAATCTGGCGGACCGAATGCGATAAATATTTGTTTGTTGATGATTTGTTTTTAATCAGCTGTGGCAATCTAAATTTCGATACTGAAAAAAAATTGCAACCAGCCTTTTCTGACTTTTATTGCCACAGCGTTAATATACGCACACATCAATGCTCAGAGGGGACAAGGACGCATTCATTCGAAAACTGCTTTCAAAACAACTTGGCCTTTTTGTATCAACAATCTTTTATGGCCGAGTTCGTTTATTTGTTTGATAGTGATACAAACAATTGCCGCATCTTGGCAACAGAAGTATAGTTTCGTTTTAGCGAGCTGTAATTTATTACACTCACTGCAACAGTCGGCATGAGAAACCATCGTCTCTAAACGGGTACTTTAACTGCAGAGGCAGTTTATGCAGATAAGTTTGAATACTACTATCGGTTTCTGTAGCATCAACAAAACGGAGGGATGGTTTCGAGAGCATTATCAACAAAGCCTACGGCTTGTCTTAAGTCCGCCAACTAAACAAACGTAATACCAGCTGGTCAACCTGTTTATGATTTTCACTAATATTGACCCCATTTTAAAACAACAATAAAACAAGTTGTTCCTGGATTAGCATTTTAAAGTAAGCCAGCCTCGTAGATCTCTGTGTTAAGAAAACTATTTTGATATATTGTATACATTATTTTGAACACATTTTGTTCAGTAATGTTGTGTTCATCATTTAATTTACAGCAATGCAAGGTGCGGTTTAAAAGAGTTAATTAAACCTGATAAATCATCAGAAACAATCATGTCAGAGCCTTGATCAGGTGGTTCATGAACATAGCCTATTCCTTTTCCCTTAAAACAGTACTGTTGTGAGAAACACAGTCAACGTAAGACGAGAACATTAATCAGTTTGTTAAAAAAAATAATAATTGGAACAAGAGGGGAAGGGGACTTGCAGAGCCGCATAAAGAGAGAGCTGCGACAACTGCGGTAGCAATTTGGACGCCATTGTCGGTGTTAATTGTCCGTGGTCCAACTCAGCTCGTGGTCCCAGAATACGTTATGAGATTTTTGCGAAGAGTCGCCAGTTTCTCTAATTCTCTGTAACCAACATCGACAATACCAATAAAATAGGCCTAAGACCAGAATCACATGACAGAATGTTTCCATTCTTGGACCAAACGTGGCGTCCAAACTACGGTACCTTCATGTCGCAACTTTATGGCTCTGGTGACTAGCAGTCATACGGCAATACTACATTGCATGACTAGGCAAACACAATTTATCAACGGATAAGCACCACCACAGAATTAATATGAGATACACTTTGTCATTATATTTCACTGAAAAAAAAATAGATTAGGCCTATCTCGCAAACTGTGAAGGCCATCATGCTAAAACTATTTTTTAAAGCTTCAAATAGTCGCGGGCGCCCAAGATTTACAGCACATTTTAAACGAAATAACACCATGTCGATGGCGCATCAAGAACTATAGTAACATATAGCCTAGCTATTACCAAGTGATGACCTAAGATACACAATCAATACGAACTTAATTAACGACACGATGACGATAGGTTAAAAGTATTATCAGAAGAAACCTGACAATTTTAAATAATGTGGGTGATACGGAAAAATCTATAATAAGCAAATGTTGCTTGAGGAAGCAGGAAAAGAAAGGTACTATTGGGAATTTTTTAGTCAATGACCGATTAGTATGAACCTCAGCTGCTAATTAATCATCAAAGTTATTCACAACTACAAACAATCTTCATTTTTTATCAACCCTGAATGTGAAATAACATTGGACTGGGCAGAGGCAGGGATGGTTTCTTGGACACACGCGAGGATGTTAACTGTACATTATCTGGTGAATCGTGAGAAATGTCTTTCAATCAGGTGCCATCTCAAATCACATTTTTAGTGACTTTTTTCTGGCCAAAAATAGAAGAATAAGTTTGCTATATGTAATGAAAAGAAGGCGTGCGGAAAGGATATCCTGCAGTGTACTGTCACACAAGTTCTACGAAGACACGCTGCCCTCCTCGATACACCAGATATTCATTTTTTTTTCAAATAAAGTTTAAAACATCGAGAAAGCACAGGTCCGACAGAAGCAAGTGGTAATGCGACCTTAGGAAAAAGCAACGTCTTGTTTCGACACGAAACAATCACAATAACAGAAAAGAAGAACATAAACTCTTAGCCTTTGGCAAGTTTCTTATCACAGATGCCCTGCTCCTTCCACGCTTATCGCAAACACCACTTGTCAGTATCACCCAAATATGGTGCCACACTAAACGTCGACGGTAACTTTACATTATAAACACCCTTGGACTGCTATTGCGCAGTCCCGCTAATGAATAGAAAAGCCCTGCAAAAAAATCCCCGGTGCAGTCTGAAGTCTATTCACGGAACCTTACATCACGCCCGCTGGCATGCCAATCACCCATTCAGCGTCACTGGACCGTGCGCGTTAGAGTTTACTGATACGCCCACCGCACGCTGCCCTCCAATCGCAACACCGCGCGGCTCATTATTCCCAGTGACATCATCCATCGAAGGCGGCATTGGGAATTCCCCTCCCTAGGCCCATTCGCATTGACACAATGCACCGATCTATTTTTCACACATTGCGAACAGCGTGGTGAGATTTTGTGACAAAAGTGGAGGGTGAGACATCAACTTCAGCATTCGAACACTGGACTCTGAGACATCAACAACCCGAATGACTTCTCACTCTTTGGAGGGAGGAACTGCAGAGTATTAATGTTTACCGACTACATCTATCTCTCGACACCCAGTAAACCTGACTAGGAGCACGCCAAGCGGCCACCCAAGCTACACCAGCAACCTGCAACACAGGTATGTGGCCAAGTCACAGTTTACTCTAAACCTACTTCAAACAAATGAAACTATCACTCCATTTACTGCAAACGTAAATCAAACAACAGCCATTCACAAACAGTACTGTAATGTTTATGATGTACCAAAAACTTTGTCATCCCTCAATTGTTGTTGTGAACTTCACACAGTATGTGGAGTACACGAATGCATGTCGTACTTGGTACATAATCTTCGAAGTACGTTCTACAGCTTATCAATCTTTGTATCGCTTATCGATCTTGCATTACAAGTTTATGACTTGTTGCCAAACAACGATATGATTAATACGATCAATGTACTTTGTTCGCTGTGAAGTTGTTGGGTAGCTTTTGTTGCAAATATTCCTGGTATGCAGTGTTGGCCCTTTATATATATTGTTATCATGTTTGAACAATATTGCTCAACAGAAATTGGAATTGACATTTTCATAAACGCCCAAACTTCAAGAATTCTTCAAGTAAATTAGTTCAGTCAAAACAACATTGCATTGCTATTATCATGATTAATATTGTACAAGTATGATATGATATTCTGTTGGGTGTAAAACATCTATCATACTCTGCAAGTGTCAAATTATGTGTATCTCGTTATTTGCAATATAAAATTGAACAGGTGAAAGAGAAGGACCTTTAAGCTCTAAAATGTTAATGTCTGTTGGGGCTTACATTCACCATCCAATATGAATAGTAGTAATACCTACCCTGGAAATAGACAAGGGTAACTTGTTACACGTTTTCATTCTTTGAAAAGTCCTCGTTCGAGCTGGTATTGCTGAAGAAGGAAAACCTAGGATTCAGACCTGGGATAGGCCTAGTCATTGTTATCTGTCTGTTTAAAGAATATAGCTGTCATGCTCAAATGCTTTGCACGATTGGTTGGTATTGGAGGCTCAGTAGTGTTTATGAACGCTTTTTAGTATCAAACGTTGGTTCCACCGGAGTTCCATGGCTCACTGCGCAACAATGAGCTCTCACAGACACAAGGGAGTGAATGCCCTCTAATGATACCGTACCTCCTTGCACCACCCCTCTAAACTGGATTAGGATCGGGTGTAGAACCCAGACACTGAACAGCCGTTCGGGGAGCTGTGGGGACAATGATGTTTCTAGTTTTGGGTTTCTCATTGAAATCTCAGTTATGCAGTCTAGCTCGATCAAGCAGAGTTTGAATCCCACTGAGAGATAACTTTTAATCTCTAATGTAGTTTTCTAATATTTTCTTTCAACTTCTAAAAATCCGTTTGTTCGAGCCTGATCCCAATCCCACTTAGAGACAACTTGTGATATCTTACTAAGTTTTTCTGTTTCCTTCCAACTTCACAAAATCCGTAAACCTAATGTGTAATGTTTAAATTTTTACAAATATCAAGACAAGATCTAACGGCTGACTGTAGAAACGAAGCATAAACACTTCAAACAGCCTACACAAGGAGAAACAAATCGATTTGAATATTTTAAAATTGTCAATTGGAGTCGAAGACAAATCTTCCAACGAGTACACCCGAATAATCGACACTTATGCCAAGTAATAATGAAGACGATCCACATATACTAAAAGAAACGTTGATCTCAACCTCTAGTCACAAATTCGTGAAAAAACACCAACGTGCCTTGACTCTTATGCTCTTGCATAGAATGGGTATATAAAAGCACTCCCACCAATATCCCAAATGTAAACAGGCACTTTCACACGACATACCAAGAGTGTAATATACACAACCCCAGAGCTATTGGCTTTGGAAAATTAGCAATAGAATTAAAGTTTACTTACCTTTTGATTGGCTGACTGGCTTTCTGTGGCACGTGATCAGTAGCGGCTTCTTGGCTCACACCTGTGGCTACACCTGTGGTAATTAAACGGAATAGAGCTTGTCAATCATACACCGAGATGAGGGTCGACAGATGACTCATCTTGGTGCGATATTTCCTTAAAACCAGATAACTACAAGCTACAATGCATTTCCATTTAAGTCCTATACCCATCGCAAATTACATCAAAAACATAGTGACATTAAGCTGCTTGCCAAATAATGATTCTCTCCAATCACTCTGGAAGACTACAATTCCTAATGATCCGATTCTTTGTGTAACTATAAAACTTTCTTTCATCTTCCCGCCTCTGAACCATGGAACTTGTTATTGTTATAAGCAGTATAGCCTTTTTTTTAATATCAGCGATGCTGTAAACCAAAGAAGGCAGTCTTTTCCTAAATAATCTCAGCATTGTCATTGAGACTCATTATTATTTGGATGACTGGTAATTGTATCATTGTTATCCCGAGTGGAATGTACATTATGATTTTGGAGGACACATACTCTGGGGTCTTAAAGTAAACTGAGCGTATAACAACCTCTGTCTAATGACGTCGGAGGTGGTGCGATCGACGAGCGCCTCCTCATCAGAAGCTTGTGACATCCTCCAGGCGATTGTCAAACTTGATTTCGGTGGGAGATTAGCAGGGGTGCTTCGGTAGACTTAATCCCCTTAATCTCTTGGGTCATCAAGCTACTGGGAATGTCATCCTGGTGTTTGGTCTTGGCTGCTGTCATTTCGCTCCGTGATTTCACTCGGCTAAGATGGTCCCCAGTGCGCAATGCTTCTATCAGTTGTCTCGTGAAGTTCCTCATCAGGCCACAATGATGACGCACGGTCCAGTAAACTATCCCGTGATGCAACAACCTGCCTATCAAAACTATGATGTCTACGATGAGGAAGATTGGTCGGAAATAGTTGGTAATTTCTTTCTTTTTACTTTCCATTTCCGAGGATTTCGAAAACAGGACAGGAGTCTCAACTTTGATTGTTTAGTTTAGATTTTTGGTTTCCTTGTTTTAAGGTTGCTTTTTAGAGTCTTTAGTCACCTTTGCAAGGAAATACGGGTAAACGTTTTTGAAAATCTCGATTTGGAAGCTAGTTCCAAGATGTGTTGCATTTCCCCCCCCCCCCCCCCGATTTCGTATTCCATACTTTTTACTTGAGGTATCATCATATTTTTATTCCAGCACGCGCCAGTTAGAATTACCAAGTTAAGGTCGTAAAAGAATTTGGACCCAATTCCTCAAGGATGTTAACCAAGTACTAAAACACTTATAACTTGGAAAGTTGTACAGTGGAATTATACCGAATCTTGTAATCTCACGGGAAGGTGGGTCCTAGAATACCTGAAATTTGTTCGAGGAGGGTCGCATTCCTTTGCCACACATGATCCCCCATAGTACGGGTCAGGGCGAAATTGAGACTGGTTACGGTCTGCAGGAGGGTTTGAAAAGAGCTGTGTACATTTTGGTCCGTGGGAATTTAAGTTCAAGTATACAGTGCGGTGGTTGAACTGGTTTGTACACATCCATGGTTCAAGGGTAGTTATTCAGCTGTACAGCAAAAACCTCTGAACAGATCAGTACAGCACACGGGCAAGACGTCGTATACATTTATGTCCCGTAGAATCATAGTATTCGGACTGTTTTTACACTATTTCAATGCGTCCATGGCTACTTCCATGGTTCAAGCTAAGTTAGTACCTAAGATAAGGCTATATATGCGACCAGCAGATAAAACCCGAGGGATAGGCCTGCATGTGGTCGTTTCCTGCAGCTTGTGTTATATCAAAGGAAATCCTATCAGGTGTTTTAACCATTCAGGGAAATGTAGGCCTCGTTTCCTGTCAGGAATTTTGATAAATGACACTGTGAATTTTTTTTTGTGTGTTCTTAGAAATAAAATTTCTTGAAAAAGGTACTGAAAATAACCGATTCTTAGAATGCAAAATCAATGTTGGCGGATGGTTCATGCCCCGTTCTTTCAAACGTTGTATCTTTCTTGAACCAAAAAAATGAATAAACTGCGCGCACGATGTTTTCAGCTTGCCCACGCTAACTTAACCGCGTAGGTTTTGAGTCACATATTTTCTTCTACATTTATCCGAGGCCAAGTTCGGTCGTATGCTGAAATGCACGTCCCCCAAGAGTAATCCCGTATATTCCATTGTTAAAAAAGTTGTTTGCCGTTTGTCCATACTACCAAAAAGCCTCGGTCTCTCAGACGGCCATATTCTGTGCCTAAACCCGCCTACGTACGCATAACGTGCTTTGGTATGACGTTGGCCTAATCAGTGTATTTGTCTAGAAATGCATCTTTTCTATTACCCGATCACTCTATTTACTTCCAACCATGTTTGTTAAAAATCAAAGATCTCAAGGTAACAAAATCTGTCGTTAACGTTCCACGTAATGAGATAAATTACTAACTTTTTAATAAATTATTAACAGGTGTATTTTGTTGACAGGCTGCCCCCCCCCCAAAAAAAATAACAATGTTGATGTTTTGTCATCAGTAACTTAAGACCAATTTCATGTTACCACAATAACACAAATTCTCGCTGAAACAAAACACGTGTAATCGAGCAGTGGAATGACATTATTATGCCGGCCACGAAAAACAGTACAGGGCGTGGCTGAAATGTAAAGCGACGTTGTGCAGTGCCGACTGAAAAGAAACACCAGTGCGCGTGCCGGGGCGCTCGCGAGTATCATTAACGTGTCGAGTGTCGTGCTAAACACGCAGACGCCGTGTCAGCGTGTTTTGAAAACAGGAGTTGATAACCTCTCGAGTTTAGATTCGGTTGTCGGTTTCAGACGAGAAGAGGAACTGAGTTGAGAATTTATGCGAAGGGGAACATAAAGGTCTCCGTCGGTGCTTTTTGTTCTTGCCCGACCGCTGACACATTTTGACAATAATGAGTGATAAACGAAACTCGGGGCTAAAGGGCAAGAAGACATGCAATGCGTCTACTCCAGCTTACGTGCACACTGAATGAGGCTTTTAACTTTAATAATTAAAGTTTGTTTTCTCTCGTGCAGATTCCGTGGCCCTCCCTTCGGAAAATCAACTGCTAGATTTGTTGAACTCGTTGGACTTGTATCAGGACGACAGTATGAATCCAATGTGCAACAACGACATGGTAAGTCATAAATATGCGAATTTATTTACCTTTAATGTTTAAATGTTTAACTTTGACTATTATTTTTAGTGCAAGCTTTACCATTGAAATTGTAAGCGAATGCAATTAACAATTTTTACAAACCGTTGAATCGAACGAGTACATGTACATAAGCTTGAAAGCGTAACAATAACATTGTATATAAACTTTTTTCAACTGTAACTTACAGAACCATAATAAAAACTTCAACGTGAATATACATCGATAAACAGTGTCCCTCTGAAACAATAATTGTGTATCAGAAATAAACAGATGGACCAATGAATAATGTGAGATTTTAACCGATGTTGATGCCTGTCACAAACTGAGCTTTTGATTCAACTGTAATGGGCGTTGTCTCTGAGCTCCTGTCGTGAAAATGAAAGAAAATATTGCCGGATGCAAGCGCCGCCACATCCTCTGGTTGTCCTGATCATTTAGCAGATAAATTTCACCATCGTGTAAACCAACGCTCATAGTGGTTAAAGTAAATTCCGTTCAATTTAAGATTTAAAAAAAATCGAATTTCATGAAATTCAAGCCGTGTCATCGAGAACCACCTTTTCAGATTTTCCGACAGCGAAGTTCAGTTGAAAAACAGTAGGCCTACCAGTCAAACAGTGTATATTATGCGCTTTTGTGGCTGGTAACAAGACAAAATTGTGCTATCAGCAAAATCTGTATGTTTAGCACCATCAATGTATGACATGGATGACTGTGACGCAATAACACAGCACATTTTGCAGCAAAAGAGTTTTTGAAAAATGCTGATTGGAAAACAACTGGTTATCAGTCATTGACTGTGGATTAAGGTGCATTTGGTTAGAGGTTTTGCATCGCATAACTGCCACGGCACGCCCCTATTCAAGGCCACTCGCTGACCACACCCTTGCAATTCTTGCAGTGTTGAGAATGTACAGGAGATAAATCATCCAGCGTACATGTATTGGCATTTGCATCTCTCTTTGATCAGTTGGATCTTTTGCTTGGAATTTAGAGGAGGGCCGGGTGGGGCATACGTCCTCTGCAATTCCAGTTAAAATTGAAAGTGTGTCCATGGTGCGGTCCAGAGGGCAAAGCGTGACCTGCAAAAGGGTGGTACGGCGCCGTATCACAGGATACAGGCAGGCCGTATCAACTGTCATGTTTCCTGACTTATCTGTACCAACGGAACTGGTGTATACGTGACATACCTGTGCGGTATCTAAACAAAAACTAAAATCCTGAAAAACAAGCAAAACATGCTGGTCATTCCAACAAACAATTCATGTCTAAATAAGTCGTGTACAATTAATTCAGTGCACAGCAGTAACTACTGAATGACCCAAAATGAAGATAAGATGATGAAGATTGTACATGTACTGGTTTTTTGGTTTGGTCTTACAACACAGGCGATCAAATGAGGGTGTACGTTTTGACAGCTTTCCTGGGAATTTAGAGTGAATTCTGGTTTGTTTTTGCAGCCTAAAAATAGGACTCATGTTACTAAGAACAACACATAGTTCGGCAGGAAGTGAAACAAAAGATCTCAAGCCGGCTATGTAAATGTTTCATTTTCACCAGAAAAACTTTCACTTCATTTGTTTGTTCCTAGTTCAATCGCGTTTTTTTTTCCTTCCCAGAAGTCTGTGCGAAGATCATTCCATAACACAATCATGCTTGTAATTTATTGAATGATACGAATTAATAAAAAAAATCGTAACCCTTTTCCTACCGTAAATTGTTTTCTCATTGAGTCATACATTCCATTATTTCATGACACCTACATACATTCCTTTTGTTAAACATCTTTTGACTTCGATCTGAGGGCGAAATAAGAACAAATTACTTTTGTGTTCATTTTTTAAATCTGGGGGGAAAAAAATACAGAGTTTTCTGCAACACATCAACAAGAAAGGCATGGGCCTACAGACTTAAGAAAATAACCCGTAGCAATAAGTTCATATTATCTGGATGCACTGTTTACATTGTATAAGCATAGAGCACAATACAGAGCACATACCTGGTAAAATTCCAAGAATGACGGGTCTGTGCAAACAAAGCAATCTGTTGAACATTTAGTGCATGCATAATAAAACATCATTTCTATTCACCACTTTAGACTCTGTACTAAATTTATTTCGGGTTGGATGATCTGAACTCTTGTGTACATTGTGCAGTGTCAATTGAACACTGTAAGGTGTGTGGTGACTACTGTGCTTTTATTGAATAGGCTAAGTAAATCATAAGGTGTCAGACTTACAGAACAGTCTTCTTGGAAATTCAATGTTATTACCAAATGCTCTTCAAACATGTTCCAATCTACAGCTCTTTCCCGATCTGAGCGCCGACCACACCCACATGACCTCTGACCTGCCCCAGGCCATGAGAGTCTCCATGAGTGGGGAGGAGGAAAGCCTTAGGAGTGTGCTGACCCCGCCCGACAGCCCAGTGTTTGCAGAGCTGACCACGCCTCACAACCAGCACACCACGCCTAACAACCAGGGGCCTATGTTCCAGGAGGGGGTAGTGCCCAACCTGAAATACGAACCTCAGGACACTTACAATATTATGAACACTAGTAAGTAGAGAAACCACTGACTGCAAACGAAAAAAAAAATGTTTTCTTGTTTACTCATACAAGCAAATCTGACCAACATTGAACTTTATTTTCTGTCTGTCTGCTAAATGTTTCACCAGCATTATAATAAAAAAAAATCAAACACGAGCAATAACACTCTAATTTATGTACTTGATAATTCATTACCATTAAGCGTTCTGGTTATTTCTTTGTATCTTTTCTGTAGTGTGTTCTCCAATGTATCCAGAACAACCATCCTTCAGTGAAGGAATAATATGTGATGTTCCTTTTGGAGCGTCGAACCACGTACTTGTTAAACAAGGTAAGCCACCACCCATCATAAAACTGATATCTAGGGTCACAGTTAGTATACAACCCTGCAAATTATTTAAACTATATTCCAGGGAATTTAATCTTGACCTGAAACTGAAAGACAAGTCATCACCTGCAGGTGAGATATTAGTAGTAGCCTTGAAAGTCATTAAATGGAATACCGAATGTACTTGCTTGAGGTCTTCATAAAATTTTTAAAATTCACAGACAAAAATGAAACTGATAACAAAAGTGAGCCTGGAATAGATACTAAGTGTTATGACTAATTATTCATAAGGTTTTCTTTAGAAGACAGAAACAAAATCATTTTGAGGATGACCAAAAACCCATGGTGGAGTCAAATCAGCTACAGAGAATTCTAGCCATTGTTTTCAGTTTCCAAAAATAAATCTATTACTTTCACTTTTCTTTTTGTCAGAATTTATTGAACAAGAGTTCTCGGACTGTTTCTCAAATGGACAAGCAGAATCAGCAGCACCTCAGTGGCAGCACCACGGATACCTTGATTATGAAGGTAAATTAGTTAATTTTAAATGTCAACATCAATAACAATATCAAATGAGCCTTCTTAAGAACCATTCTACACTTAAGCTGTCAGCATTTTTCTCATGATAAAAAACGGACTTCTCGGACTCACAAACAGTACTTAAATTCAGTTCAAACCTGTGAAGTGAGATTTAACAGTAAACGTTTAATTGCCAAATTGTTGTCTTGGTGCGCCCTTGATAAACAAATGTTTTCAAGCTATCGGGGAGCTGGAAACAACACTTTGAGTACATTCTACTCTTATTGCAAATCTGGGAACATTGTTCTGGGGCACTGAAACAAAATGTGCATCATTAAGAAATTGAAGATTGTGTAATCCTCTCCCAAGCAAGGCAACTTCGTAAATACTTATACAACCCGTCTCGTTTCAGATTATCCTCCAGCACCACAACACCCACCAACCTTCGATGCAAACTTTGACACATTGCCAAACGTTGAACACTTCCTGAAGACACTGATGGATCCACAGAGGCCCACAAATCCCAGCTACCAGTACAGAGGAAGCAATTCTGCTGGGGAAGGTGAGGCAACCAGACTAATAACATATCCTACATCACAGGGACAGGTCAGCCATATTGGTCTGGTACCCAGTATAGATTTGGTTCTGACAATACATATTGTAACCAGCTTTCATCACCCTACAGAAGAAACAAACTTATAAGTCACTTCCTATTTACCTAACTCTGCTTCAGCAATCCAACTTGACATTTCTTTTAGGAACTGTATTTCCCTTTAGGAACTGTATTTCCCCTTTTCCACTAAATGCCATCAAGTTAACATTTCATTTAATTAGCCTTCATTTGATTTTTCCCAGAAACAGAGTTCGAAAGCGAGAGTGAAGCCAGTTTCACCCTCCCGAACTCCCCGGCCACATCGGACGAGGGTTATCTGTCCATCAGCCAACACCCAACAGCTCATGCTCACCGCACCCACAACTACCAGAGGAAGACGATTGACAAGAGCCTGTCCCTCCTCAGGGGCGTGACCCACAAAGACAGCAAGAGGGGGCGTGGCCGCCCACGTAAGATGCATCCCATCTCCAGCACGAGCAGTGATGACAGTGATGAGGAGGTCACAACCAGACGTGGACGTGGCCGACGAGAAGGTACTTATCATTTCTGCTTGGATTATTATTATATATTTCTGGTATGAGTCCAAAGATGCCTCAAGTGTCCCTTTGCACTGATGCCCAGGCTCACAAGCCTGCTGAAACCAGTCATGAGGAGAGAAGACAATGAACAACAGATAGAATTGATTGTTTAATAAAGTAAAGGGTTTTTTCAGAGGTTATTAATGTTTGGTCCATTTTCTTTAATATGCAGCCATGCGCGGCAACCATCTGTGGGAGTTCATCCGCGACCTCCTGAAGGACAGCATGTGCTGCCCCAAGTACATCCGCTGGGAGGACAGAAAAGACGGGGTGTTCCGCTTTGTCAACTCTGAGGCCGTGGCCACCATGTGGGGTCGCAAGAAGAACAACCCGCAGATGACCTACGAGAAGCTGAGCCGTGCGATGAGGTGAGGGCATTGTCCGACACCATCTTGGTCTAGTTCCTTAATTAACACATGATGGACAATCACTTCAAATGTTTGTCAGTGGCAGAGACCAGTCATAGTTTGGCTGAAAGACAAGTAGAAGTGTATTAATTAAAGAAAGGACCACCGTTGTTTAGAGAATGGTGCAGTTATACACTGCTGTTATCTGCATTAAAAATTACCAGGCACCAGACTATTATCCTCACTGACATTTGTAACAAATCAGTTTTGTCCAGTCACCTTAGTGCTTAAATGACAAAAGAAATCATAAGCAGATGAAAACCAGGCCAGATTCCAATAAAACAAAAAACCTAATTTGAAACCAAATTTTCCAGGAGTTAACTTTTGCCAACTTTTGATCCATTTCCAAATTCTTCCTCAGGTACTACTACAAACGCGAGATTCTTGAAAGGGTCGATGGCCGACGTCTTGTCTACAAGTTTGGGAAGAACGCGGCTGGGTGGAGAGAAGCTGCAGGGCTAGACAGCGATACCGAGAGCATGTAGGTTGATAGAACCCACAACAAAGGTGTAGACAGACTGAAAGAGACATTTAGACTGAAATTATAAGGCTTGTAATGGGCATAAGTGATGGATTTAATAAAAATACACATATACATGTACAAATATTAATGTCCGAGACTGGTGTTAAAGTATTAACGAAATATCAGAAACGTAAGGATCTATTCTTTATTAATGGATGTTTTTTGTTTAAAGTTTTTCCATTCATTGTCATGATGTTGCTTGATACATGCATTTTATACTTATGCTATGCAGTAGACTGACTAAGACATTTATATTTTGTATACTGGTGAAAAACAAAGAATTGGACACAAATCAATGTCAAAACAAAATGAAGACAATTAGGTCTATAGAGACAGTAAACTGAATGATAGTTTTTTGTGGAAAAAAAGTCAGAGAGAAAGATTTTTAACAATGCTTTTGGAGCAAATGTCAGAAAAGTAGAAGAGTTAAATTTGCACCTACACAACAAATTTGAAATATCTTTCTTGGTCTTGTAAAGAAAGAAAATATTTTAAAAGGCGAGGTTCAAACTTAAAGCTGGCATTTATCCACAGAGTTGTACAAATACATCCCAAAGATTAAGAGACCTACCAAATGTATTTTGTAATGAACCTGTTTATAGTTAATGGGAATTCCCTCCATTTCATGTGGTAATTACAATAAAGTTTATTCCAAACTTTAAACTTTAATTTGGGACAGTTTCAAAGAATGTATCGTTCACATTCCAAATATAAAACTTTATTGTGAAAGGACATTCAGTAGCAACTGTCTTGGATTGAAAATCATTTGAATTTGTGTTCACTTGATAACAAAAAATGTTACAAATCTCAAAGCAAGTTGTATCCTTGAGATAATCATGTAATATGGATGGTCATAAAGTCTCTAATAACAAAATTAATGTAGATAATGAATAATACTTATTCAGTACTTATGCATTTGTTAAATATCTTTATGCTGGAAGAATACTTTTTGCAACCATTACAAACAAATGTACAGTTATGCATTGATGTACTATTAAGCATTGTATTTAAGATTTATTATTGTAACTTATATTATGTATTTTCCAACCTTTTTTTACAATTTTATAATTTTTACTGTTTTTCTATTGCAAAATGTAAATATAGTTTATACTTTTCATGAAATGGCTGATTGGAATGTCAAAGGTAGAAAAACGTAAATAATGCACTATACATGTACACAGCTACAAGTTAAGATTTCTGTAAATATAAAATATGAGGAAACAAGTCAGCTGAGTACTTACCTTTTATAGTTTGAGGAAATAGATAAGTAAATTGAATGAATTTATGAATTTTTTCATTGTTCATATTCCAAAAACCAGAAATGAAAATTATACATGTTTAAGCACTAACTTTTAGCTTTTGCCAACACATAAAAATATCCTCAAAATAGAACATGACTTATACCTGGAACCATTTCAAAGAATCAAAATCGAAAGAAGAAGTCCCCTTGGAAATTCCCAGGGTACTTTTTAGGATTTTGCAAGGTCGAAAGCCAATACAGATGCTTTCAAACGGATGCAAATCTAAGGTCAAAGTTCATTATAATGGTATGTGCCAAGTTGTACCCACTCACACCCTATTCATCTTTGTATTTGTGATAGGGACACAACAAAATATGAGTGTTTGCAAACCTTTCGAGTAACCTTTAGAAACTAAACTGGCAAAACACCAACAAGCATTTACTTGTCTGGCACAGCATATATTAAATCGATATTAGTCCCTGTTGAATGGTAGGGGGCCTACTTTGGGGACCTTTTTCTTTGAACTTGGGTGGCACCAACTGAACAGTTCACGTTGAAACGCATGTTAAAAATGGCATGCTTTGATTAGGAACAACACAAAGAGTATGCTGCTAACCGGGCATTGTTGCCAGATGAATCAAGAATATTTTTTTCGGAACAAAAAATGTTGTTTCACAATACAGGGACTTTTCTTGTTCATTGTGAAATCCTTTTTGTCATTGGCAAAATATTTTTTTCATTGTTGGCCGTTTCTTTTAGATTCGGTCATCACTTGAAATGCAATTTTGGCTATCAGAATTGTTTTTTTTATGATAAAAGAAAGAAAGCAAAAATACTTTATGTAGGCATAACAATTTTATTTGGTCATTGGATTGAAAAGAGTCAAGTGTAAAGAGTGTGAAATAATTTTTTATTATATTTTTAGCACTAAGAAAATGATCAGTTAGGTACCACGAAGTGCATTTTGTAGTTGTATTTTTTGTTTTATATTATTTTATAGCCTGCTGGTCAGGAAATGCCTACAGATGTCAGTTTTATGTGTTTTGTAAACAGATATTTATATGTTCTTCCACCTTCAATGCACTATGTTTGAACCATTGAAAAATAATGATGTGCCTTTTTTCTCATAGCAAATTTTGTACACAACCCTATTACATAACTAAGGTTGATATAAGGTTGTTAAAGCGTGTGTCACCCTTTTTTGAGCAGTACAGAATTCTGCAATTTAGTACAGTGTAATTTTGTAACACTTCAAAGTACTATTTGATACACTTTTGTATTTAATTGGTTTAAAGCGTTAAAGAAATAAAGGATTGCATGTTGTAATATGATGTCATTTTGTTATCTGTTTTAACTTTTTTGGTCTGTCTCTCTCTTTCTTCCTAGATGTCACTGTCTGTGGTAACGCATATGTCACTGTTAGTGACACCACTGGTTATGTCTGCACTTGCTGAAATACACATGAATTGTCAACACAAGTCTTAAAAATCCTATAACCACCCCCCCCCCAGCCTTATTTATTTACACAAAACTCCTGACTTAAAAAAGCCCCACTGGTATACATTGTAATTTTGCTCAAAGGGACCTAATGTGTTTCACTTGATTTGTGGGGGGGGGGGGGGAGTTATGCACAGTTTAGGGCTAACTGACAAATTGTTTAAATTGCATTCATTTTTTGATAATTTTAAATGAGAACTCACATTTCAATGGCACTTATTTATTAAATCCTTTGCATTTTTCAATAAATGCAAAGCAATTGTAGAGAATGCTGGACGACGCGGAACCTTGAAATAATAAAACACCTTTAACTAACCCCCAAGTGCATTTTTACTAGGAACCATCTCAATCCTCCAAAAACTTTTACTTGAGTGGTGTGCCAGTTAGATTGAACATGTTTGCAATGACTGAACTTCACTGGAATTATGATGGGGGAAAAATATGTGTCAGGGGGCCACATTCCTTGCCATTTCAAGGAACTTGACAATCATTTAACTTCCGAAGTGTCTGGATTTCTGAGAAAAAAAGTGAATTTTTAAGATCACGGCCTATTGTTGTAGATATTTTCTCGGAAAACAGTTAACCACATGAAATTACATATATGGAAATTAAAATTACATATATATGGAAACCTCAAAATACGTGTACATCCTACAGGATGGCTGCAGCACTTTTCTTCTGCTAATTTGGGCTGGAATGTGTGGTTTTCTGGGGTCACGTTCGGCCATTTGTTTTAAATCTAAAACTGATTGCACACGCAAAAGTATTGCGCAAGACGCTGATAGCCAGCCAGCCAAGAAATGCAAAAAGTGATAAAAAGAACCAATCCAAAACCTCCAATCATCCAGAGAAAAACAAAATCCAAAAAGTGAGCTACATGTAAGTCCCTAACTCAAACAAGTACTAGTACTCCAATATACAATCACGATCTGCGATTTTCAAACCACATTTTTTTACTGACTGCCCATAATCACATTCTGTTTTTAGTTTTGAAAAAAAATAAAAATATCAGAGGCATTATACTGAGGAATGATACAACCACCATGAATTCAAAGAAAGTATACCATCAATTAATAGTGTCTTCTGTTGACGAGCAGAGCATACTGCTTGAAACCTCGAGTTAAACCAACTGGTTCTTTTTATTATTATTATTATGATTGGTAACAACTTCTCTTTTTTGAAAAGGTTTTTCAGGTTTTTATTTATTTTCATTGATTGTTAAGCGCCTTGAGCATCATTTTGAAGAATTTGGCACTTCATAAAATTATGATTATTATTAGTAGTATTATTCTCAGAACCACAAAACTCACTAAGTGATGACTTTCATTCACATGGTGTTACAGCAAACCTCCCATTCATTCACCAATTAATACCTCTTTACACCATAAAACTCTCCTGTGCATGGTTGGAGAGCAAACCTCTCACTCCCCCCCCCCCCCTCAACCCTAACCCCTCCCCCACAATACAGACACAAATTGGAACATGTGAAAGAGGAACCACAGGATAAAATAATAATCTGCAAGTCATGACAGCAATTCAACTTAATTCATGCATGGTTGGGTTGCCAATGGTAGTTTGTGACGCACGTAGCACACGGAAAAAAAAGAAAAAAACATTGGCCGTTTTTGTGGCTGGTCATCGGTGTGTGTCTAGTAGCTCACGCACACCACGGGTGAAAGTAATATTACGAGACATTTGGTTTTGTGGTGGGTAATTTCAGTTGTTGACCTATTGTGCTCTCCTTACAATGGACTCAGACAGAAATAGATGTCTGACTCAGTCTTTGAATAATCTAAATATGGATCAGGGGGATTGGAAAATATTGCTTTGCTTGAGCACCACCCAAAAAAAAGGGTGAAGAAAAACTAATGCACTGTTAAACGCAGCATATTGGTGCAATGTGTCCTTCTCTTGGACACTGGTTTCATAATCGTCTAATCTGGCTAGATTCGAGCCAATTATTTATGGTTTTACCCAAACCCTGGCTTAATCATTTGTTTCACTACAAAGGACACATCACTTCTACTAAAGATGATCATTGCAAATTGACTGAAATGTTGAGTGCATCCCACCAATTTATTTATTTCATTTCTTTACTTTGGGTAAGCCAAAAGTGTTAAAGTGACTGCTAGATGTTTCGAAATATATGTTCCGACAACCCGCACATTAGATTGTGTTACTCCCGGTTAGGGTTAGGGCTAGGGTTTGGGTCAGGAATATGTGCAGTCTGAACATAGGGGTGTCGGAACAAAGGGGTGTCGGAACATAGGGGTGTCGGAACAAAGGGGTGTTGGAACATAGGGGTGTCAGGAACATAAGGGTGTCGGAACATAGGTGTGTAACTGTTAAAACTGGTTTCCTTTGGGGCACTGGATACATGATTGTGTTCTTCTCAGAACCATCTCCTTAAACTAAGAGCCATCCTCCCATGATTGGACACCACAACCTTAAATGGTTTTAGTTCTGCACCATGTACAGTTTCAGATCTTACTTATGCACCACTGTAATCATCATTTCCAGAAATGTCAGGACCCCAGCAATGTTTAAATCAACAGAGAGTGAGACAAAGCATCACAAGTGGCAGAAAGTAAAACAGCTGGTTGTTTGTCCACTCATCAAAACCAACCATACAAACGTGCATAGTCTCATACAGAGGATGCAAACAGGTGTGCAAAACATCTCTAAAAAGTGGTGTTTTTTTTTTCTTTTTCTGTGGGCATAATGGTTTCTGAAGTTTATATAGGCCCTACAATGTAAATGTAGATATGAAATCTATTTTTCATGTCCCTAGATGTTAAACAAACAATATTCCCTGCCTTTGGACATAATTTGCAGTTTGAACAACTGTTTTTCACATCGTCCATTTGCAAAGTATCCTTAAGGAAGGGCTGAAAACTTCGCTAGTTAAACGAATCACCAAATTTGTGGGCTTTTTTTACCTTCAGAACTTAATGTTTTCAGTTTACAAACTTTAGGTACAAATTTCTCCAAAGATGTTCTGTGCACCATGCAAAGCTCATCTACTTTGCTGTGGTCACTATTGAAGTAAACGATTGATTTCAAAAAAAAAGAAGAAGATAGCTTTTCAAGTAAACTATTCATAAGATGGAATTGCTGCTACATGTATGTACATCAGATTCGAACCAGCCAACCGATCCCGCAAGCTCAGTTGTCAAGTGGTAAGACGTCTGCACTAGAAAGCAGGAGGTTGTGGGTTCGAGTTCCACCCGAGTGATTTTTTCCAACTTTCACTCGGGAGGTAACACTAACACACTGAGTATATAAAGCCTAATATCGACATTTCAAGTAAGATATTGATAAATTCAATAGGATCCCATAATATACATCTTCCCAATACACGTAGACAACATGCATGTATTTGTAACTGAATCTTACAATGTTCGCTGCATTTATTCTTTCTACATGTGCATTATATGTAACTTTGTAAGCTTACATTTGTACTTGCATGAGTACAAATGTGCGAACAGCCTTGTTAATTTCATCCCACCATGACCTCCTTCTTTTGTTTATCAATCATACCCAGGGTATAATTTTATAGTTTAGTCTATTAGAGCCA